GCAGTGACCTTCCCTCACGAGTTCTTCGAGGTGTGCTTTCCAAGCGAAGCAGTTGTTCGTAGTGTGTCCGTGCATTCCATGGAAGACACAGTATTTGCTAGTATCCCTCCTGTCTAGATCTCCTTTCAAGGGTGGCGGTCTTCTTACCCAAGGTTTGTTTTTTACTTGGGCTAGGATTTGATGTATAGGGATAGTGAACTTGGTGTAGTTCTCTCCTGCCTTAGCGTCCTCTTGTGGGTGTGACCTGCGCTTGTCCTTATTCTTGTTGTTAAATCCATCACTTCTTTGGCCCGCCCGCTTGGTCTGCCGATCTCCCTGCTCAGTGGACTTCTTCGCGGCAATTCGATCATCATCCCAGAGCGCGTAGCGTTCTGCGGTCGCGAAGACCTCTGCTAAAGTCTGGCTGGGAGTGATAGTCAGCTCACGGTATAACTCGTGTTCTGCTGGAAGACCTTTCTTGAAGGCAGATGATGCGATTTGGTCGTCGCACCCTACGATGTTGGCCTTTTCTGCTTTGAACCTCTTGATGTAATCTCGAATGGATTCGTCGGGCTTCTTGCGTAGGTTGAACAGATGATCTGGGTTCTTCTTGATCGTCCGATAAGAAGTGTATTCTTTAGTGAAGACATAGGCAAGTTCCTTGAAACTGTTGATCGACCTAGACGGCAGGGTGTGGAACCAGTCCTGAGCTGTTCCTCGCAAGGTCATTGCGAACGCCTTGCACATCAGTGCGTCGTCGGCCTTGTGGAGGATCATGACACTTTTGAAGTGTTTTAGGTGGCTCTCGGGATCGGAATCTCCCTTGAAATGCGTAAACGAAGGCGTTGAGAATCGCTTCGGGGGAGCAGCCTGCTCGATTTCAGGGGTGAAAGGAGTAGAGATCGCCTGATCCATCTCCTTACGTAGTGCATCCTCGAGGTTCCCGCTAGTCTTCAAGTCTCGAAGTCGGTCATTCACAAGCTTCTCAACGTCTTCTGCGCGCATTGCTGGTCGATCACGTTGGCGACTTTTGCGATTCGGGCGACGCTGAATGACCTCCTCGTTGGTCCGCGTGGGTCGGTCCTCTCGTCCGCGCTACCTAGGAGGCGTGTTGGTGGACTGCGCTTGCGAGGGGTTTTCTGCAGCTT